CTCGATCTGTTTGTTTCTTATTGACATAATGAGTCCTCTGTTTTATTCACAACACATAATTGGAATTTTTAGTTTGATATTTGACCCACCCACGGCCAAATTTATCAATTTAGATGCAATATTCTAATGTCAGTAATATTTCTTTTAGTGCTTTTCAATGTCATTAAAAAACACTTGATCTTATTTTAATTATTGAATTTTTTGGTTTAAAGAGTGTCTCAGACTGTGTAAACGAAATAAGAAATAAAAAAATGTGGAAATATCATTGTACAATTTTAAAAGACAATTCAGAGCCCACCACAATACTGGAATTTTCTTCTAGGAATATAGTGACAGTGGCTTACGACTGGGTCCAAAGACATCATAACTTCCGACATGCTTTCCCTCGTTGCGAGTTCAACGCTGCTGCGTTCGCCTGTTGCAGTGTCATTTTCACGCAATTCTCCGCGCTCTGCTTGAATACAAAGAACTGGCGAAATGGTTAGAGTTGAATGGCCGAATGGAGCGACTGCAACTCTCCCTTGCGACTGGTTTCCATCTGCGCCACGACGAGTCTGTCACATTTATTTCTCGCGCGACGAGAGAAAATATCAGAATTTAATCAAACGTAAAATTAAATTTAACTACATGATTGTTGGTTAGAACTCCGAAGAGTTGTATCGATGACTTCCCAGGGAAATCTGAATCACGAGCCTTTTGTTGCGAACACTGCTCCTTTCTAGTATCTGGGCTTAGTGCAAGGTATAAACTAGTGGTGCTGAACAGCACGTACTTTCTCGCCCGTATTTTCACGCCAAATTACGCGAAAATCACTCATTTTCGATAAATTGTACATGGCAATATTTCAAAATTTGTCTTTAAAGAAAATCAGAGTTTTTAACGAACATGATACATCTACCATTCTGTTTAAGGTCCTTCGTACTATTCAACAAAAACAATTAATAGACGATGGAGTCATTTTTTGTTAAAAATTTCGACAATGTCCCAGGGGTTCATGTAAAGGACCCCCCAAAAATTAAAATATCGGATGCAAATTCAAGGGGACGCGCCATCAGCCAAATGAATAGGGAAATATCAATTTGGAGAAAATCAGCTGAACGGTTTAGCCGCTGGCGTTGTTCACACACTGTCGGACAGACGGACAGAAATTTTTCTTCTAAATTTACCAACTGGATTTATTCACTTTTTTGGTACCAGGAACCTGTAATAAAACATGTTCTGCTTAAAATTCGCCGTTTTTTTCGCGCAGCATAAAGTAACTTTCTCTCTACCCCGTAGCAAGCATGTAGAAGGGAAGCAATTGATTGAACAGAACATTATCATTTCTCAATTGGCCTTTTACGAGAAAACGTGCTTGAACAACTGTGAAGATATTCGGAAACAATATTTCTTCAACAAAGCGTTGTATCATTTCAAAACAGTAAAGAAGCATTTTATTTATGCTTACAAAATTATGTTGAGAACAGATGAGCTGAATAAAAATATTATGCGCAATGTACAACCTGCATAAAGAACACACTTAGGGAAATTAATTGAAACACTTTTATTGTAGTCCCTGTGCAGCAATAGAACAATGACATTTAATTATTATAATTTCTAGAAGTAAAACTTGCCTTATTCTACACTTAAGGTGAAATATTTCCAAGAGTTGGGATTACAATAATGTTGGGATGTATGATAAGAGAGCAAAGTGAAATAAGAGACGTGAAACTGGAGATCTCGGAGGAAATGTGCCATGTACCCGATATTCTGACCCCACCTACCATTTGCATTCAGGAATTAAACTCAGCACCCAGAAAAGAAAAACGAGCCGACACTAACCTAGGGGTCGACAAGGGGCATGGTGTAGGAGACGCGAATTTTGGGCCAGACGCATACATAAATGTAGCAACGTCTAGGCTTCTTGCATACATAAATGTTGTAGCACCGTCTGGGCTTCTTGCAAACATATATATTGTAGCACTGACTGGTATTTCTCCAAGGTTGGAGCAATACTTTAACATACTAAAGCACTGTCGCGGGCAACATCTCCCTGGCGTTATGTCTGACCCTTTCACACGTCTGTATCTTGGGAGCAAGGAACCCATGAAGTCAAGAATTTTAAACCGCATTACTTTGGTTTGTGGCGGGTGAAATATTATTCGCACAAAACGTGTAGTGCCTGACATGTTTAATTGTTTGCTTGGAATGTTTGGTTGTTTCGGTAACAAAATTATATAAGAGACTATATAGCTTACTTTCGTTTCGGCAACCAACGTCGCACAACCCTAGCTGATCTCTCCGAAATAACGGGTCGTATTCTTAATAATACGTTTTTTGGCTAATATTTTGTTTTGTTTTTTGCATATCAGTATATTGAGGTTTAATAGAAAACGGGCAAATTAAGTCTATTATTGATTTCAGAATGATAACTCTGGCCAACATTGATCTTCCCGGCTTGAAAATACTTATTTCTGATTAATTTCATAATGAAAAAAATGAAAATGACATTTAAAACTTTAGGTCTTGGTTCTCCGATATAACCCATATAATTATGAGAAACATTTAGAAATTTAACGCCTGGAGATCGTGTTGTCACATCTGAGACCAGCAACGATGGGTTATAGGTAATTTTTATTACTTTGTTCAGCTTCATGTTTACAGAAAAGAAACGGACTGTAGAATACCACAACATTCCATCAACATTCAAGCTCATGGAGACGGTTTGTCTGTACCTCTCCCTTCGGAAGAATACTCCAGGATTCCAGCTACAGATCTTGTTCACTATTCTGTCATGTTACATCCTATGAAGACGACCAAGAAAATATTAGGATCCTAGAGAACAAAAAAGACCACAACTACAGAAAAAAGAAACGTATGCTTACAACATTCAAAGATCAAGGATATAAAAGGGCCTTGGATGCTCATTTATTCCTTTCCTATGTGAACTACTTCCCAGACAGCTGGGAGCCTTCGGATAAGAGAAAGGGGAGAGATTCCACCAGGATGAAAATATATTGAAAGACCTTAACAAGGAAAAATCATTCTTGAAGACAAAACAATTAACAGAAGGTTGCGCAGAAACAATATCCGGTTTTGAGTCACGTAGTACAGATGCTTTGCACGCCCATGCACGACATAATTATGTGGAATGAAGTGGGAAAGGACGGACACTTGTAGTTATGGCTAAAGTGTGCTTCAGAGCACACCTCTTTATTTGAGGTCACTTAATTGAAAAAATAACGAGTATCCAATTCTGTGCAAAGTATCATTTGCAGCCATTTCAGGCTGAGACGTCACGACAAAGTTCCTGATCACCGTACTTGGTTCACTGCCGTTAGGCTGGTAAATCAATTTCGTATCAACGCATCTAGCCTTTAGATGAACACTCAATGACGTCCTAGGTCACAACAGATCTCTGTGCGCATAGAAGCAGCTCGTAAAGCACTAACCCAAAGTCCTCGGCGTTACATTGTCAGATAGGTCCTAGCGCTAAGAATTTCCCCTTTGTCTACGTAGCGTATTCATCCATGATGATTTACAGCTCCACCCCTTTAAGATGAAGGTTGTTCAACAGTTAAAGTATAATGATAAATGTGCCCGAAATACGTTTGATATGGATTTCCTTCACCGTTTAGCAGCATAACCACAGATCTGCAACATATTAGCAGGGTCTTATTTTCTACTTAACATTTGCAACAACATGCACAGTCATGAACAAGCAAAATTGTCGTTACTATACACCAGAGATCCAACGACAGCTTCATGTGAAACCGCATCATAGTGAACGTGTGACAGTTTGATGTGTCGTTGCTTCGTTTGGCATCACATGCTCTTATTTCTGCGAGGACCGCAATGGCTGTGCTGTTACACTTACAAGTAACCACTACATGAAGATGGTAAATACTGTGCTTCATCCAGCGCTGTATCCAACAGGATGAGGTTCGACAATCCTTGGCTATGTAGCGGCCTGGTTTTCAAGATATATTAATTTCTAGATTTGGAGACATCAACTGGCCAGCGGGGACACCAGATTTGAATACCCCTGACTTCGTCTTACAGAGATATCTCAAAAGTCAAATCTACACTACACACCCTCACACATTGGCAGATCTTAAGTGCAGTACACAAGAAGACTTGAAGGAAATTCCCTTGGGCATGCAACATCGAGTAATGAAAGATCTCGTTCGCCGCTTAGAGTTGTGTACAATGTAATACTGGTAATGGCGCAATGTAACCTGGCGCAATGTTCAATAAGCAGTGACTATTGGCAATAATGACCAAATGACATAGCTTTACCCGTGTTCTCAAGATATTGTCAAATAAATTATTGTTCTACTTAATATGTTGGTCTGTTTAAATCCAACTATTCTTTCTGCGCAACCCTGTATTTCTGCTCACAGAAACCGAAATCATATCCTAGCTACTATTAAATTACAAAAACCTATACATGTTACATTAAAACGTTTGCAATTTTTTTGTTTAAGCACACCAAGTTCAAACCTACATCATCAATGGTGACTTTAGGAAAAGTTTGATAACCAATAGAATATTGTGATAAGATTAAACGATGCGAATATCATACAACCGTACAGTCAAACTTCAAAATTTTATAACTACAATTTTCGTTTAATCTTCATTATTCATTCTGCAAAATACGACAGACTAATATAGTAATTAACAGAAGATCGTGGATGAATATTTGTGTTCTAAAGCTTGTTAATGCGAAACTGATTCCATTTTTGTAAGTTCAGTTGACTTAGTGACATCCTTTCGTTGAAATTGAATTCGAAACATTTCAACTTGGTTGTGAAACTCTGTTGTAAAAATTAAGAGTGTATCGCAGGGACCGCTAGTAACAACCACATTTCCGCCGCATAAGCACTCACGAGAACAATATAGTGGCGTCAATGGCGGGCGTTCGTGGGCGAGGCAGGTAAAGAATGTTGAGAACCGCCATCCTATTGTCCCAACGGGTCCGGGTTCCATTTCTGCCGATCGGAACAACGAACCGTAACTTATCAGCCTCCGTTCCCCTTTGCCCTCCGATCACCACGTGCAAACTGTCGTAGGTCGGTGGGCGTGGTGGTTTGGCAATAGCGCGAGGCGACGCGAGGAGTCGCGTCCTCCAAGGACGCTCTACTAATAAGGAGACTGTCCCGCCCGCGCGGGAATTCTGTCGATTCGTCTGCTGGGAATTTATCTGTGTCGTATTTAGGTCCTAACATGTGACGACGTCCTCAAAACGTTTCAGGAATTTAGTAGGCATGCAAAGTATGTTACTAAAAACACGAAGATGAATGATATCCAACATTACTGAACTAGTACAAAATATTTTACTTATTACGAAATAAGTGGACCGTGAATACTTAAATATACAAAAAACTTATGTTACTAATGATAATAGTTATAAGATAATTAATAAATAAATTTTAAAACAAATCAGAGAATGTAGCCACTGACCTAAACTGGGGTTCGCAATCTATTCCACTCTGGTGTTAGTGAAAATTACAACACCCAGAAGTAATGTTTGCAATCACTTAAAATCGGTGGATGTGCAGAATAATGTATCCATAAGAAGTGATTAAATTTGTACAGAGATGGAGTGCACCTTGTGCACCACTAGTAGCGCCCTCGTTCGTGTGACAGGTCAGGTCAGAGTTGTGCCACTCCCAGTCGGCGTAGAGCTTCCAAAAGACGTGGAAACGTGCAAGCAGGTGTCAGTATGTCTCGTAGACACCAAAGGGCACAATATCAGCATTTGAATGAGTTTGAACGGGGCAGAATGATCGGTCTCCGAAACGCGAGTTTGTCGTATCGAGACATTGTGGCTCGCACATGGCGCGCTGCTATGAGAGTGTTGCGTGTGGAGAATCAGTGAAGAGAGTCGTACACAGCAACGAACGAGTACTGGACTGAACAATGTGCCCGTCATCTTGCCTGCAACGATGTAACCGACAGAACAGCGTTGTCCACAGTGTTGACTCGACTTTGGAGCAATGCAACGGGTGTAATCATGTCTGCAGTGACAGTTCAACGCCATTCCATGAGGGCTGGACTGGTGGCATATATACCACTGCTGATTCTGTTGGCCAGACTCCACCAACGCCTCAGACTGCAATGGGCGTGTGAACGTATTTATTGGTGTGCTAAATGACACAATGTAGTGTTTTCGAACGAGTCCCGATTCCTTTGTGCTACAGCGATGCCAGTGTACGTGTTCGACGCTTCGTGATGATAGGAACGTGCTAGTCTGTATTGTGCCGCGCCACAGCGGAGAAATGTCAAGAGTGATGTTTTGGGGCGCCATTGGCTACAATGTGCAACCTCGCCTCCAATGTTTTGAGGACAATATGAACGGCAAACCAGTTCTTCAGGAAGGTTTTAGATTCCGAAATACTGTCCCTCCTGCAAGCAGCTCCACACGCCATATTACAGCAGGACAATGTCCGGTAGCAAGTGTCGAGAAATATGCAATCTTTCTGCGAAGAACGACGGATCACTGCTACGCTGGCTTATACGTACGAAGAACATGTGGCCCATCGAACACGACTGAGACATGAGGTCGGCAGCTAATTCATTCTGGTTCTCCTGTAGCCACTATCGATGCTTTGTGGTCACGCATAGAAACCGCGTGTCTGTGGGTTCCCAAGCATGATATCCAGACTACCTTTGAAGACGTGCCACGTCGCGATGCCTACAGGCTCTCATGGCAAAGCGAGGCAGCTTTACACTGTATTAAATACTTAAGGTCAAAGGTCAAAATTCACAATTCTGTTCATTTGTATTTGATATTCATAAACTATGGAATAAATTTTAATGTAATAGTGTGTCTCCTGCTTGGTATTGTAATTTTTACAAACTCAGTGTATATTTTTTCCAATATCTATAGTACACTAACACCTCTCGTATAATTATTACAGTATAACAGTATTACATTACATTACATTACATTACATTACATTACATTACATTACATTACATTACATTACATTACATTACACTACATTACATTACATTACATTACATTATATTATATTATATTATATTACATTATATTATATTATATTATATTATATTATATTATATTATATTGTTATATTAGCCAACCATGGCAAGCGAGTGCTGATGGTGATTTTGTGGTGTGGCGCGGCGTGAGGCGGAGGCCGGGCTGCCCACAGCGCCGCACGCGCCCCGCGAAAGCGCTGACGCATCGCCCCAAGGCCAGCAGCGCACCGGGGCGGCGCGAGCGGAGAGCGGCGCCGTCTGACCCGCGCTTTATGGGAGCGCGCTCGCGCCCTGCCCCGTCCGCCAACTAATGGGCGCAGCCGCCTCCGCGTCGCCTCCGCCTCCGCTCGGGCTTCGGCTCTGAACACAGGAGGTCGCGAAAACGGTGTTGCGAAACGGGTATCGGTACGGTCGTATCCAAAATGTCATAAAAGAAAAAAAATGACTGACCAACACAGTTATTGGGAGTGTGTGTACCCTCAAATGTTAAAACACTTTCGATCTTCTGTGCATGCGCACTTCAGGTTTCGCAACACTTTAGTACATCTGCGCATGCGCAGAAGATCGATACTGCTGACCGCTACGGCGTGCACTAACTCCCTAATATCAATCCGGCGGATTAGTGGGGCCCGCTTACACATCGAGTTCGATTTCGAGTTGGCGCATGCGCACAGGCTCAAAAATGCAGTCGATTTTTGCCCAGTAAGGTGAGTAAAACCCTCTAATGCTACATTCAAAAATGGTTTGATGGCATTATTCTTACCGCCAAAAATAAAGCATACTTGAATTGAATTCATTTTTGAGACACTCTGTATCTGAGTTGTACAGCCATCGCCAACGCCCCGTCCGCCCAACGCTGCCCGCAGGGTCGCGGCGTCGCCGTCCATCGCGCGTAATCGCTTCTCGACGGCTGGCGCCGCGCGCCCACGTCTGAACGGCACTTCCCGCCGGATGCAAAAAGGCCTACACACTCTTGCACACACTTACTCACATGCACAAAACACCATGTCGGGAGAGCAGTTGGGATGTTATATATATTGTCTCAGCTAGAGCGGTGCCACGCTGGGGGGAGATTCCTGGTTTGGGAAAATCTCGCCAGCCATCGGTGGAAAATTACCGCCAACTCCTCGCGACGAAAAGTACACTCACGGGACCAATGACCTCGATAGACCTTGACGCGCACGGAATCACTAATTAATCAATCAAAGAGGAGATAAAGTGCGTAGACCCTCAACGCGTCAAGTCTCATTCAGGATTGGAGATTTTTTTAACATTGATGTTTTGTGCTGGATATTTTTACGATTTGGTTGTTTCCTTTCTGAAAGAAAAAAATCTCAAAGCTAGCCGTTCTCTATGGGAAAAATGTCCTAGAATGTCACAGGGAATGGTGAAAGCCGATGGAAATACTGCCCTTGCCCTCGTGCGGTACGTGTTCCGTTTAAAATGACAACTGGATCAGTTAGAGATGAGACGTCGATGTCGTTTTGAAAACGGTTGGATAGATGTTTTCTTACGATCATCGATGTTTTGAACATCATTAAATTAAAGCCGATTTTTTTTACCATTAATGATTTGTGCTGGATATTTTTACGGTTTGGATGTTTCCTTTCTGAAAGAAAAAAATCTCAAAGACAGCCGTTCACTGTGGGAAAAATGTCCTAGAATGTCACAGGGAATCGTGAAAGCCGTTGGGTATTATTCCCTTCCATACCGGACAGTCGCGAGATGGGCAGGAGAGTTTCTAAGGGGTCGCGTCGCAACCAATGATGAGCAACGCACGAGACGACCAGAGGGTGTGCGCCCCACGCGGTGATCGAGCACCTGCCAGTCGGGGCTTTAGAACGGGTGTGTAATTCTTCTGGAATATTGAGAACTCGTTTCGTGGCTAAACCATCAAAAGCTGCTATTGTAATAAACAATATTGTTGGCAATGGCAACTCATAATTATTTCATTTTAAATACCAACGACAACTCATCTCAATACCTATACAATATTCGAATATTTAATTAATGTATATTTCAACATACTTATCAATATTTAATGAAAATGCTGAAAATGTAATACATTTTTTGTTCATGTATGACATAGTACATTTATTACATTAGGTTAAAAGTATTTAATATAATATGCGAATAGAATTTATATTAACGTTGCTTCAGTTTTCGAAACAATCGTGAATTGAAGTATGAGAATATTCTCAAAAACACGTTTGCATAACACAAGTTTGAAAGAGGTAGAGGAATAATATGAAAAATGGATATGTTGATGTAAAATAATGAATTCATATGACTGAGCGAACTGTTATTTGCCTATTTTAGGTCTGAAGCACGTTTTTGGTTGAGTTTATTTAAATTTAAATAACTTTTTATATTTCACCAAATAAAAAATAAAGGTTGTTGCCTTGGAATAGCAGGTCACTGGGTTGAAAATGCATTACTCACCTGAAACAGGCGTAATTGTCTGGCGGACCAAAGCCTTTCTTAGTTGTGTAACTTCCGCGTCATCTTGTGTCATCTTCAAGAAACTCACTGCATCCATGTATTCTTTCCTGCAAAAAATTATACCAATAATATCGTAAGTTAGAAAGTAAAAGTAAGAAAGAAAATTCATTCTTAACAAAAATGCATGTTTAAAACAAATAATTATTTATAAACAAAAAATTAAAATTATAATAGTCAATTATTATATTAATTAACCAATCCTAACTTTAAAGAAGGAAAACGAACATTTATAATCACAGAATGCAGCTTTAATAAAACATAAAATGTATCGTAAAAGTAACTAGTTTTAAGGTTCACTCGTTAGTGTTGTTTGCAGACGGAAAGACGGTGCAATTAAAGAGGGATCATGAAGCTAGTGGATCCTGTTGAAGACTTATTGTATTGATAAGGAATCTACTTGCATAGCGGTCTTAGTTAAAGAGTGGTCCAAGAAAAAAGAGACGTTGTTAACAGGGGCCGGAAATGAAGAGAAGTCGCAATAAGAAAGAGGGGTCCCAGATAAAAGGTCATTTCATTTAGAGTGAGGTCCCTTTTATAAGAGAGAAGTCAGTTAACTGAGATACCGGTTAAAGTAAGCCCTAGTTCAAGAATGGGTCCCCAACCAAGACCTCTAATCAAAAGGTGGCCCAACCAAAAGTGGCCCCAACCAAAAGTGGCCCCAACCAAAAGTGGCCCCAACCAAAAGGGAGCCCAACCAAAAGGGAGCCCAACCAAAAGGAACCCCAACCAAAGAGGACAGCTGATGAAAGGTACAAACCATAGGCCGCCGCAGAGCACGGGGCTCCTGCAGCTTGGTGTCGCCCGAGACGCAGCCGGCGCCGGTAAGGCGAGGGGGAAGGCGCGAGGGGGTGAGGGGCCGTCTAAGCTCTTGGGGTGCGGCGCTCGCGGGAGTGGGAGTGGGAGGGCATCGCCGCCTGCAGTGGTCTCAGGGGGCGCTGAGGCGAGGAGAGGGCGAGGCGGCGGAGGTGTTGGGACGGCCAGGGGCTTGGGCAAATCCCATCGCAAGTTCTGTTGACCTCTTGAAACACATGCCATCCAATGACGTTGATTATTCTTTTCAAGTAGCACATACTACATTCAGCATTGCATCTACAATGCATGAAACAAATCTATGTTCTAGGAGCGTGTACCTAGACCCTTAGGTCTAGTAGTTCTACAAGAGAGCGTTTCAATCTCAGATTGCAATACAGAGTAAATACACTACGTCTTCATAGAATGCCCATGGAAACATGATTAGTACCGCAAATAATTGCAGTATAATTTATTTTTCATTTTCAATAACAATCAGTTTTAGCGTGATAAATGTACTTGATATAATAAATATAATTTAGTATAATATATTATAATATATAATATAATTTTACGTACTTTTGCAAAAAGATAACAACAAACTTGTTTAAAGATATCCATGTCGGCGATATATATACATATATATATATATATATATACATATATATACATATATATATACATATATATATACATATATACATATATATACATATATATACATATATATACATATATATACATATATATACATATATATACATATATATACATATATATACATATATATACACATACATATTAATTGATTAAGTATACCTGTAGGTGACACTAGAAGATTACTCATTCTTCCGTAAAACTTGCTGGGCATTTCTTACATGTCTCTTCATTAAAAATCTGAACATTTTCTTGATAATCTTGAAATTTCCGTGTGTCCTCCGAAGTGTAAGTAACAGCATTTCATTGTTTGAGATTTCCTTTCTACTCTTGCATTTTTATTTCCAATATGAGCTTTGTATTCTTTTGGTTTTAAAACTTCATTGTTTTAGTGTACATGGGTGTCACATGTACATATCATCAATATCTTCCTTCTCGCATTTTTACTTGTGTGCAATTGTTGTCACGTCATCTTGTATGTAATATTCTTACACGATTCTTCCATCGGTATATTTGTTCCCTAGAATCAGGGATTCAATTTTCTAATTGAACCTATAAACGTCTCGCAAGTTCATTCCCACTTCTTTTCAAAGGTTTTGCACAAACGCTAACTTTTTTTTACAGAATTTCAAAACCTAAACACAGAGGTTCGAGAGGCGATTCTTCGTACATATTTTGAGCAATTCTCGAGAACCAGCCTCTTCTGGTAATTCTACTTTGTTTAAACCCCTTTCATTAAACAATTCATTAACATTTCAAATCATAATTTGTGTATTGAAATATTTTTTTCTATACATCGTATTTATCGATCCTCATTAAATTCCGCAAATATTTTTTGAAGCATCAAGCTTCAAGAGAGGTTTCATTATGCTTGTAATAAAAACGAATCTCTACGTGCACGACACAGTACAAATACACAATGATTCCCACATATACCCAGTGCCAAATTAATTAACATCCAATTGGCATTTCATGTGGTTTCAAAGGGAGGGAAAATTTCATATGGAAAGCTAACGTCAGATGGTTGGCTTTGGGTCTCGCCCTCCGCTCTAGACGCTCACGCCTGCAGTCGACGCCGAATCCCCCCCATCCCCTCGCCCCATCCCCTGCGTCCTTCGCCCCGTCGGCCGGGTGGCGTCCCTGGCGAAGGCGCTCGGTCGCGGGCGGCCTCGCTCGGCCCCTCTATCGCCTAGCTTGCTTCGGTGGCGACAGCAACTCGGGCGTTGGGGGCAGCGACGGGAGCGACGGGGGCGACGGGGGCGACGGGGGCGACGCGCCCCAACCAAAAGGGCCTTCCAACCAAAAAGGGGACCCCCAACCAAAAGGAAAGCTCAACCAAAAGGAACCCCAACCAAAGAGGGACAACTGATGAAAGGTACAAACCCATAGGTCCGCCAAGAGCACGGGGCTTCCTGCTAGCTTGGTGTTCGCCCGAGACGCGCAGCCGGCGCCTAAGGCGCGGGAAGGCGCGAGGGTAGGGGCCCCTCTAAGCCCTCGGGGTGCGGCGCTCGCGGGAAGGGAGGGAGGGCAATACGCCGCCTTCAGTGTCTAGGGGCGCTGAGGCGGGAGAGGGCTAGGCGCGGAGTGTTCTGGGACGGCCAGCTTGGGCCAAATCCCATCGCAAATTCCTGGTGACCTCTGAAACACAGTGCCATCCAAATGACGTAATTACTCTTTTCAGTACGCACATACTACATTCAAGCATTGCATCTACAATGCATGTGAAAACAATCTATGTTCTAGGAAGCGGTACCTAAGACTCTTAGGTCTAGGAGTTCTACAACGAGAGCGTTTCAATCTCAGATTGCAATACAGAGTAAATACACTACGTCTGTCATAGAATGCCCGTGGAAACAGATTAGTACCGCAATAATTGCATAATAATTTATTTTTCATCTTCAATAACAATCAGTTTTTAGTGTATAAATGTACTTGCATATTAATAAATATAATTAGTATAATATATATAATATATAATATAATATAATTTTATGTAATTTTGCAAAAAGATAACAACAAACTTGTTTAAAAGAATCCATGTCGGCGATATATATAATATATATATAATATATATAATATAATATATAATATAATAATACACATATTAATTATTTAAGTTAACCTGTAGGGACCACTAAGAAGATTACTCATTCTTTCCGTAAAACTTGCTGGGCATTCTTTACATGGTCTCTTCAGTAAAAAATCAGAACATTTTCGTTGATAATCTTGAAATTCTGTGTGTCCTCCGCAGTTGTAAGTAAACAGCATTTCAATTGTTTGGAGATTTTCTTTCTACTCTTGATTTATTTCCAATATGAGCTTTGTATTCTTTTGGTTTTAAAACTTCATTGTTTTAGTTGTACATGGTGTCACATTACATGTCATCAAAGATCTTCCTTCTCGCATTTTTACTATGTGTGCAATTGTTGTCACATCCATTTGTATGTCAATATCTACACGATTCTTCATCGGTTTATTGTTCCCCTGGAATCAGAGATTCAATTTTCTAATGAACCTTAAACGTCTCGCAAGTTCATTTCCCACTTTCTTTCAAAGGTTTTGCACAAACGCTAACTTTTTTTCACAGAATTTCAAAAAACCTAAACACAGAGGTTCGAGAAGGCGTTCTTTTCGTACATATTTTGAGCAATTCTCGAGAACCAGGCGGGCCTCTGCTGGTAATTCTACTTTGTTCAAACCCCTTTCATCAAACAATTCATTAAACATTTCAAATCATAATTTGGTATTGAATTTTTTCTATCATCTATTTATCGATCCTCATTAAATTCCGCAGATATTTTTTGACATCAACTTCAAGAGAGTTTTCATTATGCTTGTAATGAAAACACGAATCTCTACGTCACGACACAGTACAAATACACAATGATTCCCAACATATACCCATGCCAAACCAATTAACACCAATTGCATTTCATGTGTTTCAAAGGGAGGGAAAATTTCATATGAAAGCTTACGACGGATCGTCGACTTCTGGGTCTCACCCTCCGCTCTAGACGCGACGCCCACGCCGCAGTCGACTCCCAATCCCCCCCATCCCCCCACCCTGTGTCCTACGCCCCCGTCGCCGGCGGCAGTCCTTGCAAGGCGCTCGTCGCGGGCGGCCCCGCTCGCCCCCGCCCAGCGTGCTTCGGGGCAGACGGCGCCGGACATTCGCGGCAGCGTCTGGGCGACGGGAGCAACGGCCACCCCGCCCGAGAGGCCCCGCGCCGCCCCCGGCTCCCGCCAACCCGCACGGCGGACCCCCGGGCTCGCGCCCCGGCCACGCCCCCCTGGCGCCCCCCCGCCCGTACCGCGTCCCTCTCCCCACCCGCCCCCCGCCCCGACCTCCCCTTCCCTGCCTTCGCCCCGGGGCGGCGGGGCTTGCACCTCCCGCCCCCGGCGCCCGCCCTCGCGCCTCCGCCACGGTCACTCCACGCGGGCGAACGCTTAGCAGGGGACCCCAGGCTCTGCTGCCTTGTGGCACCCCATGGCGCCCACAAGATGTACCAACTGCCACACTAACAAAAATGCTCTGAGCGAATCGTTGACCAACAATTTGGGAGAAAATACGGACCAAAATCCATTCTTGACGAATAACTTCTTGATGGAGATGAACACTTGCTAAATAGGTATCTACTGTTTATATTATTATTTATTGTGCTATTTATATATATATATACTAATATATATATATATAATATATGTGATATAATATATATAATATATATATGGGATATATA